CAACAAAATAATTTTAAATCAAAATCCGATATTTTGTTAAGGCTTTTAACATCTTCAACGACGAATCCAATACCTGACCAGTTTCTGCCCCTTCTCCGATGGCATTTTATTGGACACTAGAGTATCCTCGTGGCGGTGTTTTAAGGAAGGCACAGATTAGCTAATTTCTGTGTGAAGAAGCATTATTTGGAATCACGCATAAAGAAGACTAACTGAATTGTATCTGAATTTTTAGATCAGTCCATTGATGAAATTAACAAACTTTCTGTTCTTGAGGAAGAAAAATAGAAGTCCAGTTTTTGTCTTTTGACTACCTTAGAAATGGTCTTTAAAGTGGTGTGGGACTGTGAGCTTTTAAACTGGAATGAGGTGCGTTCCATTTGCCGATTGAAAGTAAAGGATAATAAATAACCTAAAGGGGGCAATACTTGAATGCTAGTCGAATTTGAAGACGGCTACTTTTATGTAACATTGCTATTAAGAGTATTATTAAACTTTTTTTTGAGATTAATAAAATTGGCGTTGAACAAAAGCTTAGTTGGGCAGTAAGGATAATGAAAGGGATGTGTCGTTACCCCTAATTTTCATCAAACATTCACATTTGTATTACTAGATTTTGTAACACCTAAACAGCGTTTAAAAACAATTTTTCCAATTTATCAAATTACACAAACTAAGGGGGTTTTGACTTGAAGACTCACGAAATCTAATCGCACATTATTTCCCCTAGCACTCATTGATGTTAGGTAACCGTTAATTCTGTTCGGATTAAAACGTATCAAAGTTCTGACTTGATGTTGCCGCAAAGCGTCCCTTCAAATTGGATGCAACCGAAACAGTAGTCTTTTCCTTATGAAATGCTTTCATTTTTTCAAATGTAAACGTCCTAGACCCAGACAGACGTGCCGCACTAATTTTTTTTAACGTGGAAGCGCGTATGATGAATGCGTCAAACAACACGCTGCACAGCGGCTATAGGTTAGGAGGCGTGACGTGTACCCACTGATGATGAATGAGGCACTTTTGCTCATTTACGTACACCACTTCTGTACTTCAAATGGGCTATCACTTGGGCGTAAGCATGCACCTTTAGGGAAATACAAGTTAACATCCTGTCAGAATATTGCATGACCTGTTAGGAGTAATTATTTTGAAGGGTACTTGTAAGATCTAAATAATGTGCCAGCGGTGTACACTTTGTACGTATCATGCAATACCGTTTGGTTAATAAAAACCCTGGGAATTTCCCTAATCCCATTTTATTTTAATCTGATTTATTGCCGTACCCTGTCCCTAGTGGACTGAGCTAGGATACCGATTGGGCATTATCTGCAAAAAGTTTTCCGCTGTGTTTTACTACAACGTGATGAAGGAGGCTGTTTGCCGGTAGCGGTAATACCCCGGCAGAGTTGTTGCGTGTAGAATTTAAGAAGACGTGCGGCTTCCCCAATGATTCATGTTCATGTGCACTAAATGCATGGGAACCATGGGATCAAGGCAAAAGAGGCGAACGAAACGCAGAAGTTACGAGGGCACAAAAGTAATCAGTATACTATAACTTTCCCATAAAAATTATTGAATTGGATTACTGAATGCAAAAAACTGCGTAAAATTGTTCGTTCATAGAATTCTAACTTGCATCTGAATTTTTAATTAATTGTAAGAAGTTGCTGAGCACTACTACTACTGAAAAGTATTTCTAATGATTTGCAATGCTTAGGTGAATAGTCTCTTACAAACTTTGCGATTCTAAAAAAATAGATTAAGATTTAATTCAAAAATACCTCTATTCTAGGGAGACTGTTTTGTATTATAAAGGAAGTTCCCGTTCCGAAAGAAAAATATGGTCACATATAAATGTATTTAAATAACTCACATTAAAATGATCAAATGGTTTTTGGACTTCCACATATTTATGGAATGCTGTACTTTTGTCATGCCAAATACTTCAAAAATAGGTGTTCCTATTTGATGTATTTTATTCTTCTGTTCTAAAAGTTCATTTTACCAAGCAATATTTCAAGTAAACTTTGTAAAAGTGTGCATATATTTTTCATTTATTCCAACATAGGATCACTGGTCATTAGTAAAGCCACACTTTTTTCCGTGCTGCATTTTGAATAAACGCATGTCTTGATTATGCCTGACATAACACATCCTGACAGACGAATGCACGGCGGCGCTTAGTCCCATCCTCTGCTGCAGGCAGACTAATTGGCAAACATCACTCCAGCTCTCTTCTAAATACACCACGTTTGTTATCACTTGCCAAATCGACAGTTTTCATCAAACAAATGTTCAGTGGGAAATTTATAATGAGGTCACCCTTCCCGATTAAAGGGAAGGTATAAACGATGGCAGCGTGAAGTGTGGAAAATGCAATGAAAAAATTCCTCTGATTGAAGCAAAGGTATGTGTACTTGCACAACGTTTAATATCCTTGAATTCATGTATTGATTAAATGGTTCAAAATGAGAAAAGTGTGTTTCTCAGGGTGCTTTAATGGCATTCGAACTGGCAATTGTGATGCGTTGGGTGTTTGTTTCACTCAGTTTTGGCGAAGGGGCGACTTGGGTGCTCCGCCATTGTACATTGCTGAGGGGTCTGGCCTCTAGACCACGCCAGTAGTCCCAAGTCCTGCCGTACGTCGACGATACATATTCTGCCCTAGTTCCATGTCTTTTTTTGTCGTTAGGGGAGCGGTGGCGGAGTCTCGAGGCGATGCGACAGGACGCTTTATGAAGGTATTTGATTTCTCTATTACCATCAGTGTGTCTTTTCAAAAACTATGCACTCAAATCGTCTGTTGTTATCTGTCTGAGTGAGCTATAAAGATACTCCTTATAGTGAAGGTTAGGAACAACATATTCCTTTATAATGATTCAAGACTAACGGTTTTTCTGAATACAGCCACATAAATCCAATGTACTTATCTGATGCGATAAGGTGTTAGAATTCTGGTATTCCTTACAAACTTATTCAACGTGGCATATTCATTTTATGGCAATTACTCGGTCACGCAACTGACCAACAATCTTTGCATCCAGTATGTGGTAAATTCTGAAATACCAGTAGAATTTTGCATCAAAACACCTAGGAAATGCAGCGAATCACTAAGGCACGATGTTTTAAACTACTTCACAATAGCCAGGCAAATATGCACTTTCCCTCCATTTCAAAGATGCACAAGTGTCTTGCGAATGAAATGTGCATACGTTGTGTAATAGGCTCGGTGTTTCTCTCTTTCACCTCTGCCTCCATGCTCTTAGAAGGAGCAGACCAGTCGGACAAGGACATGCTTTACTTGGCAGGGGCGAATAAAGGGGTACGGATGTCACTATTTAGGTGTGTTCAGGTTGCAATGCCTCCTCCCCGGAGGCCAATGGCGCTTGATCTGTCACGAAATGCGTATTTATCGATTGCCTCTCGCCTAAAAGGTATTTTTAAATAAAAATGTATTACAGGTGAATATACACATGCTTTGTTTTTCCATTTAATGAGCTAACTTTTGAGCATCTTATGACTTTAAGTGGAGAAAGAGTATGTCATTGCTAAATCGTGTTTTTGAAGACCCACAACAATTAGATACGAATCTGCGTGCTTTATGTGCAGCACGGTAGAACTATATGCACAAGGCACCGTGAGCTCGCCACGTCTTTCCATGGGAAACGAGTATCTTATTCTACCGCTTTCATGCACATACACCAATCCGTTGCAGTCATATGGTTTGGAAATAGGACATTTGGAACCATCCTTCAATGATGAATTGGAGGCATGTGAAAAAGTTTCATTTGATAGAGCTCTCACAATGAGTCAATGTTAAGAATTTGATTTTGTACACCAGAATGTGGCAACGCTCCCAAAAACCGACCACCCAAGGTATAGAAGTTTACAGATCACAGATACACCGCAACTTAATGACTCAAACTCTTTTAATTACTAGTTGATTACTAATTTGCACAAAGTGCTTTTTAAACAAAAATAATTATAAATAGCTTAGAGCAACATATTTAAGCGAAGTAGATCATTAAACTAGTGAATGATTAACATAAAATGCTTTTCGCAGTCCCATTAAAATAATCTAATTCTTTAAATTAAATCAAGTGGCGATTATTGCTCGAATGCATGTTTAGGTCCCCTGGTTTACGCTAAGCAGTAAATGAGCAGAACCGCTTCTGTGATGGACGAATGAAGACCCATACGTAAAATGATAACTTACAATCCAAATAGTCTTTGGGAATGAGGCGAAATGCGAATTTACAAAATCTGGGGTGGACTCTCATCCCCTTTTTTCTGTGCAATTTCTAGTTATCTTACACTGGTTTAATTCGAGCTCAATATCTAAATGAAAGCAGTATGGTTAAAGAAATGAACCACATTTGGTTCCGAAATAATGCACATAGTTGAATTTCCACTTTTTGAACTACTACAGTACCTTTAAAAATGAAATCACACTGCAGATTTGACTAAAACAAGGGTGCGATGAGGTTGTTATAATGCAATCAGGAGCTTCGCACAGTCAAAAAGTTACTCGTTTATAATACAGCACAAAATAATTTCAATGCGAATTTTACATTTACCAATGTTTGGCTTACAATTACATAAAACGCTATTTAATAAGTAAAAGTAGGTAGGATATCCGTTTATGAATCCACCTGCAAAGCGAAGGACTTTCGTGTAGCATTAATACTTCGGCCATAAACAAGGCTGTTTTGGTATTTTGCCATTTACAATTAAAGTGTAAGTTTTCGAGAACAGAATTTCTAAATTTAAATTTTTTTGTGAAAGTTTCAGGTTAACCAATGCATTAATAATCATATGATGGGCGCGAATATCTTTAAAAGTAAATGTGGTTTCATTACATTACAATAAGTAGTGAGTTTCATTTTTGCAAAAATCAGGGGATTAGTAGGTTTATAAAATTACTGTTAGCACCGCAGCCGCCCAGTATAGCATGAAATTTAACGATGTTAGTAGGTTGATGAAGTGTAATAATTCTGTTATCCAGTTAAGTAGGTTCCAAATGCAGCCAAAACGTTGGAAGAATTAAACAAAAGCTATTTTTAGAAATAAACTTTTACTTCTTAGAAAATAACATGACCAGTCTCTACCAAAAAGGGAACTTACCTTTAAAGGTTAAGTTTAAAGGCTACCCAAACACCCATTATTTTAGAGTAAATCTCGTAGCCGTGCAGTGATTTAATGTTTCGTTTAACTGTGGATGAGAATTTTAATCCCTGAGGGTTGTGCTCCCTCTCTGTGACATGGGCTTTGGGTCATGCTAGGCCTCTTTCACCTCTTCTATATGCGGAAGTCGATGTATGCTATTCCTGACCATTTTGAATTACTACCACTTTGGTGATGACTCAGGTTGCCGCGTTTGCAAGAGTCGAAGCCAATATTATTATTTGGGAATTAGTAAAGCATATTAAAGTGATTCAAACTCAATGTAAAAGACTCAGTAACTGCCTTATACGTCAGTCATATTCGGCATGTACTTCATGCCGCGCCGTATTGTGAGAATTTCCAAAAGACAATATCAGCTATGCTGTCAACTATATCTAAAAGCAAGCAATTTGGGAGGGAGTATTTGATAATTTTGAGATTTACCGTGGCTATTTTATGGCTAATTTTATTTAAAATTTTAATAAAGGACAAAACAGTGTAATGACTCAATAAGCCCAGGGGGATATGAGTTCTTCGAAAAGTTGATGAGTCTATAGGAATGTCGAAAATCTTTTGCAAATTAATTGCAGCAAAATTTTCTTGACGATTTTGTAAGTGCTCATTTCTAACCACTTTTAAACGCTTTTAAACCTTACGTTTAAAAGACAGCTTAGGCCAAAAATAGGACCGAATATTTTTTTGAAAACCAAAACATTCACAAACAACGGGCTATTGGTCGATAATTTCCTCCAATTTCTGAGCCTTCTTTATGGAACGAAGAATACGACTGCGATGCACGCCACAACGTAGTCGATGTATGCTATTTGCGATGCCGTTGTATCCAAAACAAGCCAATTAATGTCAAAAGAGTTGGATGCTGTCTTTTCGGAATAGCGCATCTGAAGCGCGGCTAAATTGTTTGCATTTACTCATGATCACAAGCATCCATGATAGTAGTAATTTTCTAAGATTAGTTTTTAATCGCTGCCTTTGATCCCTAGCCAAATAGTCACTTTTGCCATATAATAATGCTCCATCAAACTTAAATTAACCAATTATTTCCGTAAACACAATGAGTTGACTTATGTATTAAATTTTATCAGTCGCGATGTCTTTGAAAATTACTAATACATTTTCCAAGTTTTACTGATAACTACAAGCGCGTTTCTATAAGTAGGCCTGTTAAAAATAACACCAAATTATCGGCTCAAGCTGCTCCGAGTTTGTCGGATTGCTTCAATAAACTTTACACTTTCATTCAGTCGCTTTGACTTTGGATGTTAGCATTAATAAGGTAAGGCAGTTTAGATGTCTGTTCCATTGATACCTTGTATTGCGTAGAATTTTGCTTACTTTACTACTGGCACTTTAGGGTTATTTACGCAAGTGCTTTCCCAAAAATTTCGCTGCACTAATACGCACGACAAGCCTATTCATTTAATGTGCTAAATGACACTTCATTACCCTATAAGCTGAAATCCGTACGTCCATTGAGACAGTAGTGAGTGTAAATGACAATACAAGCTGGACATCAAAATGCATGAAATACGTTTGTCACTAATGGGAAATAAGACTGCCTTCAAAAGTCACTAAGGTGTTTGACAGGCCTCAGATTTACTTCAAAGTATTAGGGCCATTTGAGATATTTGCCCTTCAGATTATGCAACAAATCAACCAATGTGTTCCGCAACAGTGGAGTCCTTAAAACCTTTAAGCACCAGTTAATACTCATGAGACATCAAAATTCCAAGTGGCCCTAGAAGCCACCTCGGTTCCCTCGGGCGTCATTTGAAATTTTAAAATAAGGCAGAAGCTCAAAGCAGTGCAGGTCCAGCGTTATGCCAGACTCCGTACTTAAAAGTCGTGATAAAAATTAGTATTGGCAAGTAATTACTTCCGTTGTTGCGGTCAGTCATCAATCATCGGTAAAATGATAAAATTCAAAATATTAGAGAATGGCAAAGCACATGTTGTACCAGTACGCAAGAGATGATGTGCTTAGTGCTTCAATATGTGTATCGACTGAGCAGAAGATTTCATTATTCGACAGCAACCATTTGCTTATAAAGCTATTTCCATATAGGGATGGGAATTTAGGTCTAAATAGTATACTGCTAGCATTGGATAGCTTACTGACCAATAGGAAAAAACCTCTTGTGGAGGACTTGTATAAAAGCTCCTTTTAGATTGCAAAAATGCAATTTTTCACATAAAGGTTTGTGAATGTGTGAACAGGCTTTTCCGTACAAAGCTACCTTTACTTACGTTTGCTTTCTTTAAAGCATCTATTGTTTTCTTACATCCACCTTGCCATTACACCGGGATGAAAATGTGAGTTTGGACGGGTTGTTATTTAAAATTTCAGATGCTCACAACTTTGTTGCTGTTGGGTTGTCTTACCATAAATTCGTGGTCATTTCGAGTGGACCAAGATGTGCCACAGACGGTGGCGTTGGCTGATGAGGATTTGGACATTACGGGGGGTCCTCAGCTGCTGAAGTGGCCGAAGCAGCGCCTCGACAAGCCAACTTTCTACATTCCCGAGGACGATGTCCCGAATTACCTCAGCGGTCTGCGTTACCTGCGCACCGTTCAGAAGCGGTTCAAACCGAAGATGCCGATCTTCCTCGGACTCATCGGGAAACGCTAATGATCTGCATGTTTCCAAACTTTGAATTTGACATTGCTGTTTCCTCCCTATTTGTACACATGGCTCAATAAATACTCCAATAGATTTGCTCTTATTAAATCCTAATCACTTAAATATAAAAAAGTTTTCGATTCTGGAGAATTGACGGAATAAAAAAATCTCAATTGTTTGCCGCTTTAATACTAAAAGTGCATCAAGTAAGTTGAAAAAATTTACGGCATTCAAAACCCTCAATTTCAACATAGGATGCTAAGATGATTTCTAGTCACAATAATTGATAGGCAGGGTGTAATAAAACTTAGGCACAACTATTATCAAAAGGACGAAAATATGTGCAACTTTTCGACTAATATTCTTTCAAATCTTTTCGTTGAGCCCTTATTTACGGGTGGCACCTTTACTTAAGTCAAGGTGTCAAATAAACGGATTCAGTGATGAAACCTTATTTATTCTTTTCAAATATTCACTTTCAAGAGTCCTATTTGTTTGTAATTTTAGTTTTTTGTAATTTGTTGGATTTTTTTGACTTAGTTTCTTTCATTTTGTTGATAACGGTTTCGCTGATGGTACATTAACGTGTAGTTGCGATTAAAACCTTCAAAAACTGCCCACTTTCGAAATGGTCACATACTGTAATATGAAAACTGCAGAGTACTGCGTTTAGTCGCAAATAGAGTGAAGCATGAACCACTATTCGTTTAGCCGCAAGGGACGGTCTTTGTCGTATCGTCTTTAACCTTCTATTATTTTGTGCGTTGCTGCTCTTCCTCCGAAGGGTCCGAAGTTAAAAGTAGCTAACTTCGTGGTCACCACAGATTTGTTTGAAAATATTTTAATTATCCTCCAATTTTTACTCTATCATCATTAAGAGGAATTTCACCAAAGTTTATAGGAGAAATAAGCGGTAAGAAAGAAATTGGGAAATTTTATAAGGCTTCAAAAAGCGCTCCTAATTGCTTCTTGCATATTCGACATTTTTAAATGGTACTTTGAAAACCTAGCTTTGATTTGAAATCGAAAGGTGAAACAAAATCACAAGTTCGTCATCTCCGTTAGCCAATTATGCGAAATTCCGAGCAAATTTCCTTGTCACTGGTTAAAGCAACTCAAAAAATTTGCAAATATGTGTATCATAACTTTTACACAAACTAGAAAAAATTGATCATAAACGATTTAAACAGTTCCAACAAAGGATTCCTTTGATTTATTTCCTGTTGGAACTCGCTGGTATGGTTTATTCCATGAATCCGTTTCTATTCCATGACACATTATTGGTCATTCCGATCCTGTACAAGTGAATTCCAGTTTTTGTTTTTTGCTAAACCAATTCATCCAAATTTTCAATGTCATATTTTGAAAATATTCTGCCATAAGCCGACCTCATTAAATGACTTTTTTCGTCAAATGATCTTGCCTCATTACTTTGATCAACAGAGTACTTTCAAGGGGTAACCACTTTTTACCCCACTTTTGGGGGTTTCCGTCTGAACTATAATATGCATCCACCTCTCACATAATGACGTTGCCATGATCACTGTCAAATTTTCTCGGCTGACAAATAATCGATCAATAGTACACTAAATGACCCCAATTCATACTTTATTCAATGTATTAGACAATTAGTTTTTAGTTTCAGGAAGGGAATAAATTCGTCTACCAAACTGATTTAGAAAATAATATTATCGCACTTCCTCTACTGCACTTTAGGTTTTTGAAGCCCACTTTTCCAGTAAAATCTTGGAGTGGGTGCCTTATCTTCGTCACGAAAGCAATATGAACACTTCGTCATGACTATTGTACTTACTAGCTTAAAGGAACTACCATATATAATTCAAGAAGAAACACTGTTATACAATTATTTTTCTTTGTTTAATAGTTGTTCTTCCTTTATAACTATTTACTTCAACAATTTCGACAGCCTTTCAAAGAATTTATTGAGTATAATTTATTATGAATAAGCTGAAATGACTTGGTTGATGTGAGGCGAATTATATTAGAAGCATCAATTGCAGTACTTTCACATTCTCTCAGCATAAGATCCTAGCTTCCACAAGGTAGACCTTAATAATTGGTAGGTAATGGTACTTCTGAAACCACCCACATTTGCTCCAAAGCCCACGTCAGTCACATTAGTTTTCCGAAGTTAATTAACACTGATGATACAATGCGATATTTTTCGTCTTCCACCCATTTTCTTCGCAATTCTACTGAATAAACACAGTCAACAATATGACTTCGGAAACTACTATAATAGCATATTTATCACCAAAATGTTTATAAAATTTGATCCCTTTGGAATTTGACGATCGGTTTATACCGCTCACAATGAAAGGATGTGATAACATGAATAATTGGCAAACAAAACTGACCAAAGTGGGAGAAAAGGGGCTAAAACAAATCGGCTTCGTTAAACACGTTCAGTGAATCAGTCAAAAAAGCAAAGATTTTCTCCCATTGAAGTACTTACTTCTTAACTTACATTAGAAGAGATAAACCCCGGCATCAAATTGAAATGCTTCATATTTTCGGGATTTGTAAAACATTCACTTTTTCTACCTTTTACAATGATCGTAATTTCACCTCAGTTTTTTGCAGATAGCAATTTTAACTGCCTCGTAATGATGCATGAACGAACGTAAAAAGCCCGTTCATCAAAGCAAAAATGTGTGTGATTGCTTCAGATACCGTGGGATTTTATTGCTCGCTTCTAAACCATTTCACCAAAGTTCCACTATCAGCCTCAAAACATCATCTACATTCATAAAAGGGCAATTTGTGCTGTACACCTTGTTTGCTAAGCTTCGCTGATTTATGTGGGCAATAGTCTAGTTAAGAAAGCATTTATTTTGGGATTGCTTACTATTTGAGTACATGATCCGGTGATCTCGTTATCTGGTTTGATGAAAACGAAAAGTATCATGCTAAAGAGTAATATGTTAGTGATTGGGGAGGACCTGTAACTTTACTATGAACTACTGTTTTTCAGTGATAAGTTCTTGTTATTTTCGCTTTAACATTATCTAGGGAATGACCATTAATTGCACTTACTAATCACGTATAAGTCATTACTGAAATTTTCTGCATTCTTTGGTAAGTATTGGTTAGCTGTAATCGCTGCTGCAACCTTAAAGATAGACATCGTCCAAATTTTGCACTAATTGCTTCATATCTCTTCTTACGACCCCGTAAAAATTAAAGGGTTTTTGGTGAAAAGATACATTTCCAAATAAGGACCTGTAGCCTCAAACCCGTTAAAAATTTTGCCGCAATAGAAGCTAAGAATTAAGTAAATATTCCCGCTTCGAGAACGTCCCATTACGTAAATGCAGTGGGGTCACAACAAACCAGACCACTCCATTCACAGCTGTGCAAACGTGGTGCTCGAGTGTCTTTTCAATGAAACCATAAAACTGGATATTATGTCGAAGTACTTTAAAGTGTTTAAATTGAATGAGATTAATAGGTCCTTATATGCATGATTTCAAATACAACCATTATTAATAGTTGTATATGTCGTACCATCCGCACTCAATTTTGTTATTAACCAATACTGTAATACCTTGATTATATGTTTAACTTTTTATTTTTGGATTCGCGCCACTCAAGGCTCCGCTCCTATGCTTCCACCGGGTAGCATGTCATCTGAGCCATGCCAGCATCCCCCTCTCCAGCTCTGTTCCGCATTCACAATACACATTCTGTCCTTGTATTACTTCTTCTTTCATCTTCAGGAGAGTCTCGGGGCGTTACAATATTACTGCGATAAGTGTGTCAAGCCAGTTGAGGAAAGTGATTTTGCATGCACTATTTACCCTGTCCCATTGTTTTACCTCGATCCCTAACAGAAACAAGTTGGGTTGTTTCTTAGTAGGTTGAGTAACAAGACAATCTGAGGATGTTTATTCCAGATGTCGGTTCATCGTATTGCTTTGGGGTTCAGTGACTGAATGGTTTAGCTACTTTACGATAAGAACGATGAAACCTTCTCATTCGTGATACATACAAAACATTGTCAAGCGTTAATTATCGTATTTACCTTTAAATGACCAGCATTGTACAGCATTTTTGGGTAAAGCACCAAAATTCTTTTTGAAATAGTAGCTATAAGGTTACTTGAGATTTTGAACTGCAACGGGTATCCAAGTCAGAGGTTTAATGATTTCGGTCTCTTGATGGAACAGATGTTTTGACCATTTGTGTACACAAAAAGCAGATATCTTGAAAGGTTTCTGCTTACAAACATTTTGGATAATAATGTATTTATCTCCGATGTAAAATTGCATAAAATAGGTAGGATAATTTGACCATTTATGGGCCAAAATGTATTTTTCAAACGCTTGTTTCAAATTTTCATAAACTTTGGGAGGTAGAACGAGCATCCTGGTGACTTTGTTTGTAGTAAGTAAGCGAACAATTGATAGGGTAAGCTGCATTTGAATGCAGATCCGTAGGCTGCGGCGAAGATTGCAGAATAAAGGATTGGTTTTCGAATGACTCCTGAAAGGTATCAGAAGTCATGCACATATGGTAACCATTACTTATTAATAAAAACTGCTATAAAATAATTTATCTGGCAAATATTTTGCTTGCATTCTATGCCTGCCCATCATAATTTCCCTAAGATATTCTGTTCCTTGGGGAAAAAGGTGAATTCACAAGAGGATAGATTTCTAGTAAAAATGCATAAATAATTACACTGAAGGACTCGATGACTCCACTTCTTAAAGATCTAACTCGAGAAATTTAACCTTTTAGGAATCTGTCCTTCATATGAAGTCCAAAATTTATTTAGACCTTATTTAGACCTTAAACTTTTGCATATTTTTAGATTACTTTTCCATCTGGGACACTACTGAGATGTATTGAATGCATCTTGAATAGTTTGAAGGGTGCATTTCACGTGGAAGGCACTGGTCTAAATTTTGGCATTTAAAATAATGCATGGCCATAAAAGAATATCTATACTTTTCTTGAGTGGTTTACGACATCATGAAGCTAGTTGTTTAAATATTACACTGGTTTTAAGTGGGTGTTTAAATTTAGCAAAAACCCAGTGACTTACAAATTGCCTAAAATATATTCTCCTCTGATACTTAAATAATTTATTTTATTTGAAATCAACTAATTAGATTGTTTTTGCTCTTTTTGAACGGCTGCAGTTTGCATTCTCATGTCCCGACTTATAGATTCTACAATTTTTAAAGAGATTTCAAGTACCCAGTTCTATAACCAATGGAATCGGACAAGCCAATAATGAAACGCTTGTGATAAGTCGGTTGTTTAACTCTCAATTTTGGAAAGGGGGCCACCTAGGTGCCCCGCTACTGCACTTTCGCCATAAGGGCTAGCCACCAGGTAGCCGCAAGCCCCATTGTATGCTAAATGTACATATTCCGCCAGAGAATTGTCTTATTTCGACTTTAGGGAAGTCTCGAGGAGCTGCACACTATCATTAGCCATGAGACAGGCTCAGAGTAACTGCCATGTTGATACAGCCTATGCTGGTTATTAAATTAAACTTTTACAGTTGCACAGACCTCTTATGTATTTGCTTTACATTTGAATTTTTATTTTATGTAGGTTGCTTTACAAATAACGATTTCACTGCATTACAGTGCTTTGAACTTAAGTTGACACATCCGCCTACCAACGTTATTGTACCAAATAAAACGTTGGGAAGTTAACTTTTTACTGCTCTCAACTCATTTTAGCTTTGATTTAGCATGCAACGTAATGCCCCGAGATTTTCCTAAGGATAGGAGGGGGCCTAATACTCGAGTAGAATATGCACTGTCGACGTACAGTGGGGCTTGAGGCTACTAGCGCGGCCCAGATGCCAGGCCGCTCGGAGGAAGTAAAGTGGCAGAGATCTTATGTGGTCCGTTACCGAAACCAAGAGCTAAACTAACAAGTAACTTAGTACAACAGAAAATAACTAATAATATTGCATGACCCAATCCACACGTCGTCATTCTTCTTACGAAACAAGAATGGTATTTAGGCATTCCTGCGACCCGTGCTATAAACTTGCCTATTTTAGCACATATATGGAACAAACTCCTTTTCTCATGTGTCTGGATCTAATCACTTATGATATTTTGGTCACTCTTTAGCTCGACTTTTGTCAAAGTAACTTGTCGTCCAAGCGGCATTATTCTTGTGTCAAACTTATTGAAATGGTTCCTTAAAACCCCTTATTTTGCTTGGCTTATTTTTGCATCTATATTGCCTCTATTTCATTCGATCTACCTTTTCAAATCCACTAAGGA